ACTCAACTATTTATGTAGGAAATACATATATTAATAATAACTGTGGCTGTCCCGTGTTATCATCCGAACGTGTTTATAAAGAACATACCAGAGTGCATTATACCAAGTCTGTATTATAACTCCATAATTGTACCTTGGTTGATATCACAACTCGATCGCATACAAATCTAATATCATTTTAAATTCATCGCCCTTGTTCCATGCACGGAGCAGAGGGACAGCCCGATGTTAAAGAGTTGGCTCGTCACGCTAAAGGTTCAATTTCCCACATGGGTGAAATTTGTGAAGCCCATTCCTGGTGTTCCACGCTGTCATGTTGCCGGAGATTTGCAGTAAAACCTCACTCATTGACTCACTTACTCTTCAATGCAAAAATTCATTCAACTTTCTCGTGTCTTTACGATCCTTACCTTTCATTGTAATTTCGGCACCTCTGATTATCCAAGCCGTCAACCCTATTGCAAAGACATTAAGCGTTTCCTTCCAGAGTTGTACTTTAATGAACAATATATTAATATCTCGTACACTGGGAACAGTTTTTCAATAGAGTACTGTATTGCGTTTGTCAGGCATTGAGTTGATTAATATTGTTTACACATTGTTCCATAAGCTCGCTCAAAGTATTCCATCAGTGTCTACAACCATGTACACGTGTTACAAATAGAATCAGTGGCTGGGTAAATATTGTTTTTTATATCAGTCCTCGTAAGTGTATCAGTTTCTGATCTATGATACCTATTCATCGTAAGTGTATCAGTTTCTGATCTATGATACCTATTCATCGTAAGTGTATCAGTTTCTGATCTATGATGCCAATTCATCGTAAGTGTATCAGTTTCTGATTTATGATACCTATTCATCGTAAGTGTATCAGTTTCTGATCTATGATACCTATTCACTGTAAGTGTATCAGTTTCTGATCTATGATACTTATTCATTGTAAGTGTATCAGTTTCTGATCTATGATACCTATTCATCGTAAGTGTATCAGTTTCTGATCTTTGATACCTATTCATCATAAGTGTATCAGTTTCTGATCTTTGATACCTATTCATCATAAGTGTATGGGTTTCTGATCTATGATACCTATTCATCGTAAGTGTATCAGTTTCTGATCTATGATGCCTATTCATTGTAAGTGTATCAGTTTCTGATCTATGATACCTATTCATTGTAAGTGTATCAGTTTCTGATCTATGATGCCTATTCATTGTAAGTGTATCAGTTTCTGATCTATGATACCTATTCATCATAAGTGTATCAGTTTCTGATCTATGATACCTATTCATCGTAAGTGTATCAGTTTCTGATCTATGATACCTATTCATCGTAAGTGTATCAGTTTCTGATCTATGATGCCAATTCATCGTAAGTGTATCAGTTTCTGATTTATGATACCTATTCATCGTAAGTGTATCAGTTTCTGATCTATGATGCCTATTCATCGTAAGTGTATCAGTTTCTGATCTATGATACCTATTCATTGTAAGTGTATCAGTTTCTGATCTATGATGCCTATTCATTGTAAGTGTATCAGTTTCTGATCTATGATACCTATTCATCATAAGTGTATCAGTTTCTGATCTATGATACCTATTCATCGTAAATCTATCAGCTTCTGATCTATGATACCTATTCATCGTAAGTGTATCAGATTCTGATCTATGATGCCTATTCATCGTAAATGTATCAGTTTCTGATCTATGATGCCTATTCATCGTAAGTGTATTAGTTTCTGATCTATGATGCCTATTCATCGTAAGTGTATCAGTTTCTGATCTATGATACCTATTCATGAGTAACAACGTAATCAGCGTCTCAGGCAGTAAGAAAGAAAGGATCTTTCCAAAAAGTGAGTACGGTTTTACGCCGCTTTTAGCAATATTCCAGCAACTTCACAGCGGCGGACACCAGAAATGGGCTTCACACATTGTACCCATGTCGGGAATCGAACCCTGGTCTTCGGCGTGACGAGCGAACGCTATAACCACTAGACTACCCGACCGCCCCGCTTTCCAAAAGGAAAGAGATACGATGTCAATGGGCCACCATCAGACGACAGTATGTCGGGACGCATTCTATTAATAAAACTTACCTGAGTAGCAAGAAAATACCAGTTCAGCAATGATTTATATGCAAAGTTTTACATGTAACAATCATACCTTATGAGCTAAGCCATCGAAATAGAACCCTAGTCTCTATGAACACTAAATTTCATTATTACAAAGAGCATACTTTCAGCTACTGAACTATGCTCCGGAAATGAATCCAATTTTTATTTCCATATGAATAAGACATACTATTATCAATATCATAAACACCAAATTCACGAAATTAGAACATCTCCATTCAATGGAATAAAATATAGCTCAATAATATAAAACTTGTTTCAGTGTAGACGAGGGGCTATGCGATTTTTTAAGAGTCAGTAGGAAGTTTATTTATTATGAAATTGATTGCAATTAGCGTTAAGAAACATCCAAATAACGGTGCACCGGTTGACACGTGGACGCCATTTCCAACAACTGTCCACTTGGTCCAAGGGGTCCTACTCCCATTTTTAAAAGGAAGCCCGAGGTCTTTAATTAACTGCCCGACAAAGGAGTGCAGTTGAAAAGACCGAGGGATTCTGCAAATGATTCTGCCCTGAAAAAAGCGTCACCGCACAAAAATGGATAGAATTTGTTATCAAATAAAAATAAACAACAATGTCGGTTTTGAAACATTTACTGCAATCAACACACAACGAATGACACTGATCCATTTTACAAATATGAAAACGTCATAGAACAAATCAGATGACGTCACTATTGAACATCGGTCTTTTGAAGTGCCCTCCTTCGCCGGGCAGTTAATGGAAAACCTCGGGATCCTGCAAATGAAAATGCCCTGAAAAATAGCGTTACCATAATTATAGCTAAAATAGATAAAATTTGTTATCAAATAAAAATAAACAACAATATCGGTTTTGAAACATGTATTAAAATCAACACGAATTTCACTGACCCACTTTTAGAAATATGGAAACGTCATATAATAAACCAGATGACGTCACTATTGAACGTGGCATCACCTTTCCCTATCCCTATGACGTGCCACTATGTTGCGCGCGCTGTAACAGACTTTTTTAGTCAACAAAACATTGTTGTACTGCCATGGTCGTCTGTTTCTCCAGACCTCTTAACCATTGAACATGTCTGTGATGACATGGACAGACGCCTTCGAGAGGACCAGAACCAGCCGGTAACGCTAGCTCACTGCTGTCAATCTTTTTGTTGACATTTGAAACAACATCCCCAGGCTGTTTTCAAACATCTCGTGTCTTCAATGCGCCGCTGCTGCCTCACCTATATCAACGCATATGGTGGTCCTACAAGATGTTGATGTTGTTAAATGAGTTGTAACACCACCCCTCCGGTTTGTAGAAGAAAACCTAATCCTAAAATCACATGTACCCCGAGTGATACTGCTACAACGAATGTATCTCTTTATCATGTTTCAATCTGCCTTTGTAAAAAAATATTAAAACAAATTGAAAAGCTGTTCGATTGAGCTGAGTTAACTCGTGCTGTGCCACAGTACACAAGAGAGTGGTGGTACAATATCCAATGACAATACATAATATGATGGCAGTGGTCAGTATTAAATACAAAATTACATTTTTAATATTTAGCGATAGCAAAAGTCAGGGATAATAATATATTCACCCAACGACGAGTGTTCTAGCTTCCGAGAAGGGCCTTGGCAGGGAAGCCGGGGTGACGATTGAGCTTCACACGAAAGCTGGTCTTGTATATGCCGTCGAACCAGCCACGGGGAATTTCCACATAGTGCCCTCACAACATAGATGAGCATACTGACTCCGAGCTGAACAGTCCTTGTTTTAGCCCCTTAATGCCGAGTGCCAGACACGGGTAACAACAAGTACAAGTACAATCAAGTACCTCTCTTTTGGTATGACGCGGCCGGGGATCAAACCCCGGACCTTCCGCTCCTCGGGCGGACGCTCTACCACTAGACCACGGAGGCGGTCCTCACAAAATAGAATATTCCACATGTTTCTATGACACACAATCACAGTCCACAGTATTTCGAAAATTTACACATGACCCTTGCATCTTAATATAGTAACTTCCTCAAAACTGTTTACAATAAACAGTACTACTTTCCTGACAACTAAGCACTGTCAAAATACAGTGCAATGAACTTCCACTGAATCTCAACAGAAACAATATAACACAGTTTCAGTCATTGTTCAACAATAAAATACACTGCCATATAACTCTTGAAAGTCAAAATCGTAAAATGGACTCTGCTTTTGGCAGAGGTTTCATATGATTATGGAAATGCTTTTGTCGCGTTTATTGTATCTTTAAAGATATTAAAAAACATTGCAAGTTGTAGTGTAGTGTTGTGAAATATGGCATATGGAGAAGAAATAAGAATATAAATGTGTAGTTTCTGTTATATGAGACAAGGCTCAGAGTATCGTCATCTATTTCTTTCTGTGTATGGATAATAAGGTAGATTTGAAGCAAATGATAAAAGTATATCCATGAACCTATCATTTTCACTTTACTATGTCACAATATATCAACTTTAATAAAAACGAACACACACAGTTGTGGAAGTCAAGACAGTGCTATGATGTATCATAGCTAGAGACGCTGTGCACCAAAAGCCAATACAGCAGACACTCTTAAATCGGCAAGACATTACATATAACATTTGTAAATGGAAGCAAACCCTGAGGAGAAAACATGTACAAAATGCACTAATCTCGGTTAGATACTAGAATGACTGATGTGACTTTGATCTGTAGTATTCACTCAAACATAAGTACGTCTGTGTCTTCTTACCCCGACAACTTGGATCGATGCTCACTGGATTGTCTGGTTGCGACATTACTAGTATTGTATTGAAGATTGCGGCGTTAATCAACAAATCTGCATTCAACGGAGTGGATCCAGAGAGACGGTCGACTCATCGAGTCAATTATGTTATGTTGGGCTATGTGATTCCATACGAGTCAGGCAGTTTATACGTCATGACATTGATTGTAATTATCGTAAGCATCACAAATGACGATGCACAAAAGACACGGGAATGCATCTGTTGACAAGAAGACAACATTTCTTTAATTTGGTGGAATACTGCGAAACATAAGTGCGAGTCCGTTTTCCTTCTCGTTTTCCAACGTATCTGTTCTCAAATCCTGCAAAAGAGCACATGCAATTGTACAATCTCAAGGATAAATTCAAAGAAAATATGTCAATAATGCAGTGAGTTGTGAGATGCATACATGTTATGTCTATCCATCTTTGGAGTTTGGTGAACATTCTAATTCATCGGGAGTAGATTATCCGTCATAGAGTAGAGGAAATACAATGTGAAATACAGCCTGTATGTTTGTTAAGAAGCGATATCGTGAACGGGTGAGATATATAGACTTTATTTTGATAATTGAGAACCCCTTTGTACAGGAAGCTTAAGGAAATGTTGTAACAAAGAAGCACATTTACCTGAACTGATTTGTCTGAGCAAGCATGAATAGTTCTGGAAGGAGCAGGGATTGCATCGGGGTGCCCGAGAAGAGGTCCTCATTGCATAGCAGGTTTTCTATGAAAACAGAATACATGGCTCAAATAATACATTTTTAATTGTAGCAAAGGTTACCGTGACAATAATGAGGATGAATTAATTTCAAAATTAAACAATTTGAAAACTGAAGCATCATCGATCTATTGTTCATTCAGGATCGTTTTGAGACACATATATAAAAAATGTATATAAACATCCTTTTAAGAAGCAGCCTGGGAGATTTGAAGAGGTACAAATGAAAACATTACTGAAGTAACCAAATAGTCAACATAGTAAGTACCATATACTCTTCTATTGTGGTGACGGTGTCAGAACGACAATAGCCCCAACCCCCATCCCCACCACTAGAATATTATATGATCGGATCCTTTTTACACCAACAGAAAATAATCAATAATTTAAAATTCTTCTCTTTCATTGACACGTGGGCAACAATTTCATTTTCCAAAATGTTCTAATTTGATTCTCTTGAGGTTGTTCATGTATGCTTAGGAATGAATTGCAACTCACGATTCACCGTTTAGGCTGTGGAAACTGCCCAGAGCTTAACATTCGTAACATTCAACCATATACGCATTGCACAGGACATGGGAAAAGGCAAGATAAGCAGGAAATGGTAAGAAGCATACACTAATGACAAGGAACAAGTTTCCCCATGTGTACATATGTGTCAGTACTATGCACGAAAGAATATTAGTTCTGCAGAAAGAAATGGTTCTGCGGGTGGATAGGCATTTTAGGTAAATGGTAAATGAAATATATTTGAATAACTGATAATGACTCACCTTGAACATGCAGCACGAGGCTCCAGAGGTAAGCGTTCATTTCACATTTTCATTTTAATTGTTTTTCTGGTATGTGTTCGTTCAACAACATGATACAGTCACACCTTTCGAGCTTAAAAACACACGTTCAAGTCACCAGCACACATTTGTCAAGCACTATACATTCACTAAACACATACGTACGTCACATGCAATATTGGTTTGCTAATGCACATATAATTTAAACAATCCACTTTCACATGGCGGTCATTCTCAACAAAGGTACTTAATGTTAGGGCAGTTACTGAACATAATTTGATTCTGAGTCATATTATCATAAATAGTTTTAAATGACAGGATGCCATTTGATACAAATAGAAAATATGTGTAACAACATAATGCTCATGTTCTTCACTTCCATCAGTTATAACTAGTTTACCTGAATCCTGTCCTGCCACCTGTGTATATTTCAGTCGGAAACCCTGCCCCATGCCTTGATCATCTGTCCTGAACCTGATTGTGAGAGCAGGTCCTGTGCTCTGTACACTCGGTGTGGTATTCCCGCACCAGGTGAGAAGGACTTTGTCAGATTGAGATGGGCCTTTGGCGAATAAATGTTATGATCTTATTGGGATATATTTTCCTTTTATTATTAACTGACACATATAACACTTTGTTATAATCCAACATATTTTGCAATTTAGAAAATCATTTGTGTATACATTTACCTTGCATGTATCATGTATCTACCGGTAATATCATCTGGTATGTTAACCCGTTGTGTACACTATTTGTAACGTGTTCTATCTTTGCAAACGTTTCAAAGAACAATATTTTCGCTGAATAGTATCCCTTAAGAAATAGTGTGGCAAAATATTATGCAACATCTCACATCATAATGTGTGGATAAGATATACAAGTGATAACATGTAAGGCAAATGTATTTACGTTGGCTGTTACGCACCGTCGTAGATGCTCACATAGTCGGACGTACAGTGAGCATCAGACTCAAGGTCAGACTCGAGAACTTCAACTCGCACCACATCTGAAGGGTTCATCGTGGTAATTGTCCATTCACATTCCATGTTGCTTAAACACAAAAAATACAACTTTTCAGGACACTATCACCTTTACGTTACGTGTATACGAACTGAACTTTGTGCTTATATTTCAGACACTCTTAAACTTGAAAGTGCTAACCAAACAGAAATATAGGTATACAATTCATCATTTTTCAACGTCATTTAATTTGTTGTTTTGGTAATACGTGATGGAGATTATTTGGAATCTTCTATTATCGAAGACTTTATCTTTGATATTAGTCATTTATAAAATGAGTTCTCGATATTAACAAAACGTGTAGTTTTTCTACTTTCGTTTTAAAATTAATACAGCAACAGCTGTGTTTATTACATTAAATCAGATAAATAAATATTCTTTTTGGTGTTTTACTGATCGAAACATTACTTACTTCACATAATTCTTTGGATAGGCAGGTGACGTCAAATATTCGTTTAAAACCGATGCAGTGAGGTTTGTTATTCCACAACCAGGACGTAAAGTTGTTTGTCCTTAAAATTAGTATATGGACAGATTATAGTACCACAGATAGAGGAAAGATTATAGTGCCATAGATAGAAATTCTTATATCACTGCTTGTCACCGTTGTGTCGAAGTTGAAGGAACCTACGTAAATACTTCGAGTTATCCGAGGTTCGACACAACAGAAAATGATGAATACAGAATGAATATGCAGGGACCAAGCTTTCGCTTCGAGACAAGTGTTATTTCCACACATCAAAGTTAAAAACAACGGTATGTTACTGTATTTATACCATGAACTGTGTTTTATAAACTGTGTCTCGCTATTTCTATCCAAATAGTTCAGAACCTAATTGATATATAAAGTGTTCATTATCACACAATAAAGGGTCAGCTCATTTTATTTTGAGCAATATGACGTGTCTACTCACCACCACTGTCACCGCGCACTGGGGTACTGAAATACCCGTACATCTCATTATTACCAAAACCAGTGACGAGTACGCCAAAAGGACATGCCGATGAATTACTTTTAATGACAAGGAAACCAGCGCTGGGTTGAAAGCTTGTTATGGCGAACGTCTGTGATTCTGTTGGCTGATTCGTCCATGTTCCATTAACGTTTAAATGTGAAGTACAGTGCGAACTGGTGATGATGGTAACATAGCGTGTGTACGACATGGTACTTGTCTGAATGTCTGGTATGAGATAGTCAGTCCCATAGGCATCAATTGTTTGAACAATCGCTTTGAACACACGGTAATCTAGTGAGTCATCGGCCATTTGTAACACAAGTATCGGATGAGAGCTTTTGATGTATGTGGCGTTCATATTACGAAAGTCTTCATCGTAAATTTCTGCTTCATTCAAAAGAATAGACTGAACTCCTGAGAATGTGTCAATGGTGATATTAGTACCATTATATGCTGATGTAATCCGAACGCGGCTTTGTTCCATGTTAGGGACCGGGGGCACAATGAACGACGTACCCCATGTCTCTATTGGGGGAACTTGACTCATAGTTCCATCGCATCCAGCATAGCACAACATAGTAGCGCCAGAAAACACTGCAACTGAATGACTGCTCTCTACAACAGTTCCTCCCAGATCGCAGGTGATGAAAGAAGTACTTTGTGAAGAAGCAATCTGGAGGACTTCTCCCTGCAGCAGGGTTATACTTAACAGGCTTCCCCTTCCGTAGGTGTTCCCCCTAAAGGGGTAGGAGCAGGTGGAGTTGAGATGAATTGAGACGTTTGTGTTGTTATAGATAGCCACCACTCCGAGTAAAGCGTTGTTGGGCACTGATGGTACGATGTACTTTGTAGACAGAGACTGCACTGGAAGGACTGGAAATGCATCGGCTATACCCCGGAAAACACGTCGTTGCAGGACACTAAGGCTGACTTCCGTTGTGCAAATAAGCTCCACTGCACGATCCTCCTCCACAGCGACTCCCAGGGTTAACACTCTGTCTGTCGGTGTGACACTGTTGTTTCCAATTAGCTGGATATAATAATCTGTCCCGTTACTTTCTGTCACAGTGCATCGGCCTTCCCGCGCATGTGCAATAAAAAGGAAATGAGCAGTCCCGTATTCATCGCCAGTGAAATAGGCTGGGAATCGTGCAAAGATAAATTGATTGCCGCTGTACGTTGCTGTACCTAATGTTTGAAAAGGAAAAGAAAGGAAACCATTGATACAAGTAGTACATTGGCCTTCCCGTGTATATACAATAAAAGGGAAATGAGGCACTTGAGTGCAATTTATATAGTCTGGGATTTGTGCAAAGATGAATTGGCTGCCGCTCTTCATTGCTGTACCTGTCGATGAATGAAAACTCAGAAGAAAGGAAACCATTCGATTTGATACAAATGCTGTCATTGTGTCTTTTGTTGCCCGCCTCTAGATTCGAATTCATGTTGCTATTGTTATAGCGCAAACCATTTCAATATATTTCATTTATCAAAAATATCTAATTGTTTCAATATGTTTCCAAAGTGCGCATACGCCGAAATTCTATCTCCCTTGTCTGTTTGATATATTCACATCCCCTTTAATCATAAGCCCCTCAGGGCTGAACCCCTAATCCCGAGCGCTGTCTGTAAATGTCACCTGGCACATCACGTCGGCGGATCTTACGTATGTACCTGCACGTGGGTCACGGATTGTACGCAAGTCTTAGCTTTGGTTACGGCCGTCGCCTCACCAACGACTACGTCGACGCTGAAGAACTACATCCTGCCTTTGCGCAATGACAGAGCGGGTCTCCGCACCGGGAACGTATTGGCCGCTCGGTCCCGGTGTGCGCTCTGTCACGTGTTTGCCATAACTTGTACCATTTCGACCTATTTCAACCTGCATCATTAAACATGGCTGCTGTCTTTTAAATCTTCACCCCTGAGTTTTGAATTCCGTCGACCGGGGGAACGGGTTGCCCAGTCGTCTAAGGCGCCGCGATTCGCTGTGCAGAGTTGCGTCCCTTTGGCATGCCAGAAACCTATGATTGTAGGTTTGAATCCCGGTTCGCCCCCATTGTGTTTCTAGGTTTGTTAGCACTACACCCGTACTCGTGGGTTTCACCAAAGTGGTAAACGTCTGAAACCTGGGCTTTCCTCACACATTAACCTAATACACAGTGATATAACTGGAATACTGTTAAAAGCGGCGTTAAACCTAACACACTCATTCACTCTTCCGTCGACCACCCTGAACTACCACCCGACGGTAAAATGTACGCTCTTGGACAATATTGTTACAGTTGTAAAGGCATCAATTAACCGTTTTGTCGCGTTCTTCTGGAGTAAGTCGATCATGCCGTCGTAATGGCTATAGTTTTGCCGTACAATGTTTTCGTTCTACAAGACAGCAACTGACAATGAGATAGCTTGATGTTTTCTGCAGTAATGATGGGGTATCGAAACTGTATTAAAAATTAAACAGTGTTATCATAAATTTAAACTTTTTCTTG